CGCGGGTCGGCTTTGTCCGACCCGCGCCGCCGCGGGTCGGACTTGGCCGACCCGCGTGGGCGCGGGTCGGTTTGGTCCGTCTCGCGCAGCGCGCTGAGTTTCGCTGATTTCTTGTGTTTTTTTACGACTTTTCCGATCTTCCGGGACTTGTAGTTTCTCCCATTTTGTTTACTCATCCGTCGTGTTGACTTGTACGCGGGTCGGCTTTGTCCGACCCGCGCCGCCGCGGGTCGGACTTGGCCGACCCGCGTGGGCGCGGGTCGGTTTGGTCCGTCTCGCGCGGCGCGCTGAGTTTCGCTGATTTCTTGTGTTTTTACGACTTTTCCGATCTTCCGGGACTTGTAGTTTCTCCCGTTTTGTTTACTCATCCGTCGTGTTGACTTGTATGCTCCACGCGAGTTGATTAATGTACGTTGATTAACGCCATCGTGAACTGACTGACGCGCGCACTGATTGACATGCACGAGCTGAATGATGCGTGCGTGTTAACTGACTGTTGGGTGCGTTTGTACGCTTTGAGTTGATTAACGCATGCGGTCCACTTGGTGTTTTCCATTGCGGTGGTTCGTTGTCGTGTCATCAACAGTTTGCCGATTCGCTTCATGCGCTTGTCGGCGTTGGATAATCCTCTTTGATTCGGATAACGGCGTTCATCACATTCTCTTTGTCTTGAGCTGTGTGCGGGCACCCATAGGTATTTTTAGACGCCTACAATATACTCTTTGGAGTGAGGGGAAACAGTTTATACTCGTGCACCCAATGGAGTTAGAGTCGTCTTTACTTGGCTTGTTTCGCCGTTATGACGCCGGAGTCAATTAAGGCTTGGATTTTGTTTTTGAGTCCGAAGCAAATCTCCGTGGGATGAAGAACCCTTCTGTAGTACGCACAGTTTAATAGGTGGTAGCTCGATTTTGTCATTGGCGAGGAGGTATTTTAATATGGCTGGAACTTCATCATTTTCGAAAGAATACTCCTTTTGAAACTTCGGATCGAGAGTCGCGTTCCCAGCGATTGTAGATGTCGTCGGTTGGTTTCTCTCAGCTTTCTTTCTTTTAAGAAAGTGTTCAGCTTGTTCACCGCGTATTTTTAAATATTTCCAGGGCTTCCAGGATGAACTCCTCTGTAACAGGATCTCTGCAATTTTGTGGCATGTTTGCAGGATGGACTCCTCTGTAACAGGATCTCTGCAATTCATTGCTTTGTTACGGAAGCGTTTGACAAAATTGTCGACTGACTCTCCGTCTTTTTGCTTCTCATCTAAAAGGGTTCCGATTGACACTTCGGTGTCATCATCGAAGAAATTGCTGAGGAACAAACTTTCCATGTCATCCCAGCAATTGATGCTCCCTGGGTTGAGACGTCGATACCAATCGAAGGCGGGCCCACGAAGGGTGTCAACGAATGACCGAACCATTAAAGCCTCGTTTCCAGAGATCATGCCCAAATGAGACTTGAAATAAATCAAGTGCTGAGTAGACGAGCTTTTCCCATCAAACGGTGTGAAGTTAATCAGATTGAATTTTGCCGGGTACGGTATTGAATCCCATTCTCTTGGATAGGGACATGAAATACCCGTCTTTTTCACTTCCTGAGCGGACATCAAAGCGTTGATTTTGTTTTCAAGCTCTTTTATTTTCTCGTCATCGTCTATGTCTTCATTCGAAGGACGTTGAGGAGAATGAGTTAGACCCCCCCTGTAAGAGGTGCCATTGAACCACCCCCAATATCGTTATTGGGAGGATGCGTTAAACCACCCCCAGCGTTATTGCTATTGGGAGGTGTATCAGCCATAATAACTTCATCCACTTCTGGATCACTGTTATCTACAATATTCCGAGGGTGACGGCTGGATTCAGCTCGCTGACTGGACTCAGGAGGTTGAAACCGTTGAGCTAGTAATTCTCTCATTTATTGGATAGCTAACTCCATCTCTGTCTTCATCTCAGCTCTAATTTCTTCACGTTGTTTGGCTAGAGCTTCTTGAAGTATTTGAGCGAACTGATCAGAGGTGATTGTGAGTACTTCTCTGGTTTGCCCTGTGCTAGATATTGTATCATCCGAAGCGATCGCAGAACAAGTGTCCGAGAGCTCGACCTCTGATGACTTTCCTTCATGCATTCTCTTGTAGTCCCTATGTCTGATGGCTCTTAACTAGAGTCGGTGTAGGCGTTAAAAAATGCTGAAAGATATCCAAATACAGCTCAGAAGGAGATCATCCAAAATGTAAAAAAGAACACAAGTATAGCTATCTCGCACGCGAGACAGTCTTTACTGTCTCGTGGGCGAGACAGACTTTTACTGTCTCGCCCACGCGAGACAGTATTTACTATCTCGCCGTGCGAGACAGTATTTACTGTCTCGCCCTGCGAGACACGTGGGAGAACTGTTTCAAACACGTATGAACGTGGGTGTAACTGCCCCTTTAGCCGCGGCAGTGTCGACTGCCGCGCCCTTTGGCCACGACAGTGTCGACTGTCGTGCCCTTTAGCCGCGACAGCATCAACTGCCGTGCCTAAAGAGACAGTTATTGACCGGCTATTTCTTCAGTTATCGTCTAAGGAGGCTATAAATACCCCCCTATGGTCATCATGGACAGGGGCTGAGCATTTTCCAGAGAGATTAGAGCAGAGAGCCTTGAGTTTTGGTGAATTAGAGCAAGAGAGAGAGTCTTCCTTCTTCACAAACATCCTCAAGAAGCTTCTAGCGAGTCCTAGAGATCTAAGCTCAGACTTGATCTTTGGAAGAGTGAACATCTTACATCGATAAGATATTCGCTTCAAATTCTTACTTCGATAAACGAAGGAAGAATCATTAAACCCCTCACGGTTCAATCAGAATCTGTGATTTGGTGGTCCACGAGTCAAAGCGCTCCCGGCACAGGCAAAAATCCCACGCAAGCAGCGATCCAAACAACGATCCTGTGTTTGTTTCTCAAGAGTTGTAATTTTCATTTTGTTGTGTAAAAGAGGTCTTATAAAAAGACTATTCCTTTGAATTTATTGTAATCGATTGAAGATATAATGAATTCCACAGCAAGACCAACTTTTGACGCAAACAAGCTGGCGACCACAGTGGAAGCCAACGGTCTCGCTGCCGAGATCGTCGTGTCGCAGCCAATCATCAAGATCCTGGTTGAATCAACGGTCGAGTACGAGTTCGACCAAGCAAAGTTTGAGGAGTATTTGTCGTCCTCATCTGTAAAGTCTTCCTCGCCTCGCAAATGCAGGAAGATTTCATCTTTGTTGAAGTTATCAAATGCTACGGATGAAGACTCTCGTCCGATTGTTGCTGAGGATTTTACTCGCAACAGCTCTGCTCAAGATGATTCCTCCCCAATTAAGGAGTCGTTCGATCGAAGTTCACCACTGACGAAGAGGGCTCGTCAGAGGCGACGCCAACGCCGCGCTCGTCAATTAGCTAAGGCATTGGAACAAACCGACGGGGTTCGTTATTACGCGGACCTAGAGTCGAGGAGGCATCGAGTGGTTCAGTTGTCTCAACGATCAATCACTCATATCTCTGCTAAATTAACGACGAAGGAATGGACTATTGTCAAAAGGGCTCGTTCAACCCTCAAAGAACATATACAAAAGCGCCGTGCAAACGCTGCTCATGCCCGTGCTCTCTTATAACAAAGACGAGAAAGGAAGAAGGAAACGGTGGCCAAAGAACCACTAAAACTCTGCCAAGTTTGGATTCCAAAGTCTGGAGTTATGCAAAATCAGCATTCGGAGCCCGTTAAGACTCCATACCCGCAAGGGGGTGGTTTTAAACGTGCGACTCCCAACATAACCTTGGATCGCTCAAAGACAAAAATAATTTGTCCTGAGAATGCCAACAAGGTTTTACACCCCCAGAAGAAGACGCATTCACCAAATGATATCGTCATACCTGGGAGGTCATGCCAACAGACGATACGATTTTTTGGCAATCATACCGATGAATCGTATTATCAAGTTGGGGTTATGAATAATTTTCGAAAGAGAGTTATTCGAGAAATAAACTCTCATTGTTCCTGTGCGCGACTCGTTAAAGCAGCATTATCAGAATGTGATTGTTTCAAACGAGAAGCCATTCCACGAAGAGTCTCTGTATTGTCGAAGCCTAAGCCGAGACATTTCCGCAAAAGAAAATCAGCTGCCCAAGATGATGAATTCCCTGAAGTCACCATCAACGTGGCTGATAAAAGAAAGTCTAAGCGGCATTCAAGTGACTCAAATCCCGACTTTTCCCCGAGAGGAAAAGTCAATCCAAGAATTGCTCAAAGGATGTCTCGACTCCAACTAGGAGCCATCAGACGCAGAGATTACAAAAGAATGCAAGAAGGAATGTTATCGGAGGATGAATTCTCGGACACTTGTTCTGCAATTGCTTCTGATGATACAATGTCTAGCACAGGACAA